GCTAGGGCAGATGGGAACTGAGGCGGCTAGGGCAGATGGGAACTGAGGCCTTTTAAGTAGAAATGGGTAAGCGGGTTGGGTTTGGGTCGGGTGCGGGGAAAAGTTCGGTTTAAAGGTTGAAGCGGTGAATAGCGTTATTAGCGCTTTTAAGCGCTTTTACCCGCTAAAACCCGCTAAAACCCCGCTAAATCGCGCAATTCGAGCACAAAGCGGTTTTTACCGCTTAACCAAGCCGCTTATGCCTTCCGCGTAGCGCTGATACCCCGCTTCCGCGATTTGCGCCGCGATAGCCCCGCTTTTTGCCGCTTTTTACAACACTGATCAACCATAACGATACTCGGACCTCTCTGTACAACAAATGATAGTATAAGAATACAATATTATGTAAATGCAAATATTGCAATTATAAAGTAACTGAATTACCTCTGTACAGGATATAATATGTGAACGATGCTGAGCCTGGTCATATAAGACCTCATCACTAACCGGCCCAGGATCCATGGTGTACAAACCTGCACATACAATTATACACATGTCAATAATCAATCATATAGTAATTCAGTTTCTTTATTAAAGTATATAAAAATAAAAAAATGATATAAATTACCAATTAGTTGCTATCTATTGTGTCTAGATGGACAACGAGGTCGAGTATGTCCCGGTTGTTTGCAAAGACTACATTTTTTGTGCTTGACCACTCCTTCTCGCCCTTGATCCATGGTTCCCCTAATTCGCACAGATCGTGGTCGACCTGCTTGTCTCCGGTACTGAGGTGGAATTATACGTGGTCCATTATATTCAGGCCAATACCGACTATCATCAGGTGGATGAAAACTCTCACTATATGTCTTTTGATAGTGAGCTGTTGAATACCAAGGCGAGCAATACCGATTTCTAGGAATTCTAGCACCTCCCGGCTGATTAGAAGAAGCCGCAAGTACATGGGAATTCTAGCACCTTTTGTTGAAGTATGCGTTTAGTCTATAGAATGTTCTCGCAACCAAAGATTGTATTGGCATAGCTCGTGCTCCTTTAAGAACGCCGTTAAAGCTCTCAGAGCAATTAGTCGTCATCATGCAAAACCGCACACTCTCATCCTTACATAATGCCCACCGATGCTTGAATTGGGGCTTCAAGTTATTTTCAATCCAATTATGTGCATCTAATGACAAAGACTTGATTTTCTCCCTGCAATGTTCATACACTAATGTGTCGGTCGCACACCCGGTTTGTCACAAAAGATTTTGCAAATTAATCTCACCGTGTTTTTTCTTGAAATTATCTCTTATATGCCTTAAACAATATTGATGGTGATGTGGTGCACTAAAACCCTCATGTAACGCCCTTATAATTCCTTTCATCCTATCCGAAATAAAGGTAATTATTCTTGGCGCACGGACACTTGGAATCCACTTGTATATAAGTTCAAAAAACCACTTCCAACTAGACGTATCCTCCACCTCCACGACTGCAAATGCTAGAGGAAATAACCCGCCATTTGCATCTACACCGGTCGCTACAAGAAGCACGCCTTTGTACTTTCCATATAAATGTGTACCATCAATGCTCAATAGCGGACGACAAAAAGTGAAGCCCTTAATAGCAGGACCAAATGCCCAAAACACGCGAGTGAACCTCTCCATACCCGGTGCAATCTCTTCGGATAATATTTCGTATTCAGTACCCGGATTATTTCGTTTGATAGCTTTAAGATACCGTGGAAGTAATTCATATGATTTTTCCCAATCTCCAAAAATTTTAGACAACGCTTTCCTCCTTGCATCATATGCCTTATATTTAGATATCTTAATCCCCCGCATGTCATATACCTTCTGAAATATCTGACCTGCATTCAGATCAAGTTCAGCTCTAACTTCAGGCATAATTAGCTTACATATATAAGAAGAAGATGCAGAATAATCATCGACATCCACCGACGGGTTGCAACATGTATGAAGTCCGCAATATCTACATATTACAAATTGCCCATTTGATGATTTTCTCACAGCGGCATTTAGCAACCAAGGACATTTTTTATTTCTCTCATCTTGCTCATTTGCGTTCTCTACTTCATTCTTATCGTTAAAGAAGCATTTCACATTGTAGTTTGTTGCATTAGTTTTTACCGGCTTGAATTTGACCCGATTCTTGATGGACCATTCTCGGATTGCAAAGATCAGTGCCTCCTTGCTCTCGAATAGATCCCCTTTTTTAAAAGTGAAGTCCTCAGGTCGTTGTAAATTTGGCCCAACATCAACAAATCCAGCTTGAGAAGTATTTATCCAATCCTCATTATGAAACTCGTCGGGCAACGGATCTTCAGCTTCCACATAATCATTGTTAACGTTAAATTGCTCCATCCAACGGGCGTCATCATCTATTCCAGCTGCCACATGCATGCTATCAATTTGCACGCCATCTTCTTCAAAATGATCTGAATCATCATCTGCTTCATCTTCTATAATTGCTCCGACTGGTGGGTAACCCGTAACATGACCTGAAGCGTCGTTAAATATATTAGTTGACGTCCCACCGATAGAATACTCACTTAAATGTTGTGGTTGAGACCATGGCTCTTGACTTGGAGATGTCATAAAACCAATCGACTCGTTGTCTAAGTCAAGCATCCGAGAAAACTCTCCTTGAGGTCGTGAAACTTGGGCAAATTCCTGAATCGGATACTTCTCAATAAACAACTCAATTGACGCTTGCTTCTCGACTAATTGTTTCATGTCATTCAATTCCTCATCTTCGGTAATCTCCACGGCAATAGTTCTACTCTCATTTATCGGACAGTTGAAGAACACCCTAATTGTATATTCTTCTTTCTTAATTTTAGTAACTCTGTGTATTTCCCTAGTCATTCCATCAAAATTACACGACTTAGATAGCATGAACATTTTCCGAGAACCTCCATCATACACCGGCAAATTATTCACTCCGACGCCGAGGCTCCCATTAAAGAAACAAATAATGGATATGGAGTTCGTCATCGAAACTGAAAATACGCAGTCCATCATATGCAAATAATCTATTAATATCTGAATAAATCCCAAATAATGGCTAAACCCCTAATTATTATTCATCATATGTAAATAATTACTAAACCCTAACTCCCAAATCACATTATTCATCCTATTGCACAAAATAAAAACTAATCCTACCCAATTCTAGCAAAATTAACAGCCAAAACATTATTCCCCCAATTCTAGCAAAATTTGATGAATATCCCTCTTAAAAATAATTGCTAAACCCTCTCATATGTAAATAATTGCTAAACTAAACCCTAACTCCCAAATCACATTATTCACTCAATTCTAGCAAAATTTGATGAATATCCCTCTCAAAAATTAACAGCAAAATTAAAAAGAAAAACACACCTGAGGATGGGGGTTTGGTGAGGGTCGATGGTGTCGGCGGCGTGACGAGGTCGGAGGGCTGTCACGAGAGCGGCGGACTGGTCACGAGAGGAATGAACGAAAAAAACCCTAGCCCGTGCAAATGGCGGTGGTCGGCGGCGGTGATCGGTCACGAGAGCGACGGATGGTCACGTGCAAATGGCGGTGGTCGGCGGCGGTGGTCGGCGGCGGGGGTCGACGAGTCGAGGGTTTTTTTTTCTTCGGGGGAGAGTGATCACGAGCGGAATGAACGAAAGAATGACGAGCTGGTGGGTTAGGCGGACTGCACGGGATTGCTAGTCCCGTGCAGTTCCGTAATTGCAAAAACGACCCTTTTCGGTCGGTTTTGCTAATTAATTTGTCAGACGGTCGATTTTGCCCAATAAAATTGAAAAAAGGGCTGTTTTAAAAATTTCTCCTTGAAAATTTTGTTTTTTAGCATATAAACCCATGAGTTTTATCATTTTTGTTCGTTTCTACCAATTGGGAATTAAGTTTGCGTACATCAAAATTTTCAATTTTATGAGCTTTTATCCATAATTTTTTTCCTATTTTGACTCAATGGCAATTATGTATGATGTATTCTTATTTTAAAATTCGCGACTTTTATGGATCATAACCTCTAGTTTTTGTTTATTTCTACTTAAGGACAATTAAGTACTTGTTCAAATTTGTGATTTGATTGCTATAACCTATGATTATTATTTGTTATTTTCCAGCTTGACTGAATGATAATAAATTATGCGTATTTGAAAATTTTCTATATTCATGGACTATAACCAACAAATTTTTTAATCATTTTGTTTGTTTCGATGCAATGACAATTAAGTATGCGTATATCAAACATTGTAATATTATGAGTCATAATCCATAAATTTTATCCTTTTCTTTCGTTTTGACTCAATGACAATAAAGTATATTTACTTCAAAATTCACGATGTTTATAGACAATATCTCAAGATTTTTTTGACTATTTCAAATTAAGGCCAATTAAATACACATTTCAAAATTCGTTATTCCATGGGTCATAAACTACAATTTTAGCCTGTTATTGTCCATTTCAAATCGTTGGTGGTAAAATATGTGCATTTGAAAATTCTCAGTTTTTATGGACTATATAACACGATTTTTTTTTATCATTTTTTGTTTGTTTCGACCTAGTTACACAGTACACTGTACGTAGTTGGGTCATGGTACCAATTTGGGTAGGCAATTTGTCACTTAAAAGATTTGGATTTGATGGAGGGTAGTTTGCTCCGGTACGCAAGTTCGGATAGTGGTATGTTATAAATCTTTTTTGGGTGCTCTTAACGTTTTCCGAAGTATATAGTAGAAAAGTAGATTCTAGAAAGCTATATATGCATTTCAAAATTTCAATATTTTTTCATACAAACTACTTAAATATTTCTTTTTATGAAGTTTGTTCTTTGTTCTATTTTTTCACATAGTTCGTGTTGGGATCATGGTTTCATTTCACGTTTTATTTACGTAAGTATTTAGTTACAATAAAGTCATTGGCTCATATATTTTGTTGTGCGCCTCCATTCACTTAGTTTCGCACATTGCGTTGCGTCTTGCGCATGTGCCCTTAATGAAACTCTGCGTCCCACATACTTGTAGGTGGTACACTAATTTTGGGAAACCAATTCGTGTATTGGTGGAATCAGCCGGCAAATGTACGGGAAATAAGTTTGCAGGAATTGTATGAAGGTTCGGGTGGGGAGGGGGTGGAATCAGGGGATCGCATAACTATGGTTTCAATCCAATGAGATTTAAGTACGAGTACATGAAAACTTGAGTTTACATGCTATAATCCATAATTTTTATATGTTTTTTTCGTTTCGACTCTGACAATTAAATATATACTTATTTCAAAATCTATTATTTTCATGGACCATAACCATATTTTTTTTCTATTTCAACTTAAAGACAATCAAGTACTCATAGTTCAAAATTCTCAATTTCCTATAACCCACAATTAATATCTGTTATTGTCCATTTTGACTCAATGACAATAAAGTAGCGTATTTGAAAATTCTCGATTTTCATGGATTATAATCCACGATTTTTAATCATTTTTGTCTGTTTCGACCAGATGGGAATTTGGTGTGCATACATCAAGATGTGCGATTTTATATGTTATAATCCCTAATTGTTATGTTTTTTTTCTTTTTCGATTCAGTGGCAAGTAAATATGTTTACTTCCAAATTCACGACTTTCATGGACTATAACCCTTGATTTTCTTAATTTAAATTTAAGGGAAATTAAGTATGTATAGTTCAAAATTCACAATTTCATGGCTATTACCTACGTAAAATATGCGTATTGGAAAACACTTGATTTTTATGGACTATAATCTATAATGTTTGAATTTTAGTCTGCTTCGACCCAATGAGAATTAGTATGTGTACATCAAATTATCGATTTTATGAGCTATAATTCATAATTTTATCCATTTTTTCTATTTCAACTCGATGGCAATTTAGTATACTTCTAAATTCTCCACTTTCATGTACTATACCCATGATTTTTATCTATTTCAACTTAAGGATAATTAATTACACATATTTTAAAGTTTGAGATTTCATTGGCTATAATCCGTGATTTTTGTTTGTTATCACCCATTCTTACTCAATGGTGATAAGATATGTGTATTTGGAAATTACTAATTTTTATGACTATATAACCCAACATTTTTTTTATCATTTTTGCTCGTTTCGGCCCCAGGGGAATTAAGCACACTACATGAAAATTTGTGATTTTATGTGCTACAATCCATAATTTTTACCCCTTTTTTGTTTTGACTCAATGGTAATTAAGTACACAGTTCAAAATTTGCAATTTCATGGGCGATAACTCAAAACTTTTGTCTGTTACTTACCTTTTCCTACTCAATGGCGATAAATTATGCATATTGGAAAATTCTCAATTTTGTGGACTATAACCTACTAAATTTTTAATCATTTTTGTCTGTTTTGATTCATTGGAAATTTACGATTTTATGGGCTATAATCCATAATTTTTTAATCTGTTTTTCTTTTGTTTTGACTTAGTGATTATCAAGTGTGCTTATTTCAAAATCAGCTACTTTTATGGACTATAACCCATAAAATAAATTTTCTGTTTCAACTGTGAAACATAAGGACAATTAAGTACATGTAATTTTAAATTCACGATTTTATGGGCTATAACCCACGATATTGTTTGTTATTGACCATCCTGGCTGAATGACAATGAGGTATGCATATTTGAAAATTCTTGATCTTCATGGTTTATAATCCGCGGTTTTTTAATATTCTGTCTGTTTAGGCTCAATGGAATTTTAGTATGTGTACATCAAAATTTGTGATTTTATGTGATACTTTTTATGTGGTTTTTTCCATTCCGACATAATGGCGATTTAAGTATGTTTGCTTCAAAATTCGTGGCTTTCCCGGAATAACTCACGATTTCACCTGATTCGTGTCCCGCATAAGCATGCATGGCCATCTCTATTTGCATGCACATGATAGATTTCATTTGCAAAAGATTCGTGTCCCGCATAAGCATGCATGGCCATCTCTATTTGCATGCACATGATAGATTTCATTTGCAAAAGATTCGTGTCCCGCATAAGCATGCATGGCCATCTCTATTTGCATGCACATGATAGATTTCATTTGCAAAAGATAAATGTTTGCAGTAAATATGTATTATCTATATTGGATCTAACTTCACAGGAATGTATCCCTTTTCAGGTTGGAGGTTGTATTAGCCTAATGAGAATTAAGATCAATCCTGCATCAGGATACTAACCTGCTGCAACTCGTTCGTGAGCTTCTAGAGCCGAGAGAATGGGAGATTAGATCAGAATTTTACAACAGTTTGTTCTCATGTATTCTGAAGTGAAACTACTTAGAATTTGAATCTTATACAAATGGCTGTACTGCTGTATTTCTGTAATTTGTGTGGTTTTTGTTCTGGTTTTTTTGTTCTGTTCTTTTATTATATTTTGTAAAGGGATACGTCTGTAGCATTTATGTACGAGTGGAAGCAGACGATATTGCTGGATGTTATCATCACTTGTCTCTATGCGGACGTTAAACTTTTGTTTTTTCTGAATTCTACGTACATTCTAGCTGGAAAATTCTCCATGTGGCATTCACGACTTTCCAAGAATTTCATCTTGCATGCGTGGTCAATGATTTGTAAAGCTCGCTCTTAAATACATATATTTTGGTGAATCCTGCTGGAGATGGTTCATATTCAGTGATGATTACTTCAGTAACCAAAAAAAAAAAAGGAAGAAGAAGAATCCTAAGATTCCTATTTTGAATGCTTCTTAGACGGTTCCTATAGTAGCCTTTGATCTACGATAGTTCTTAAGAACTTAAAATTTTAGTTTAATCAGGCATTTCCTGTGGAAGAATCCTATGTTACTAAGACAAATATGTATACATAAATTAAATCTTCTTGCTAATTATTTGCATTCATTCCAAATGAACAAAAAACTAATGAAATCATCGGTTAGCCCACGAAAATTAGAATTTCAATGTTCAAAGAACTAATTTAAATTTGTTCTAAACGAACTAAAATTGACAAAAATCGTTGAATATAGCTCATAAAAATTGTATTTTTGATGTACACATAATAAATTTACATCTGTCTGTATTGAACCAAAATTGACAAAAATCTTAGGTTAGCTCATGAAAATTGTAATTTTAATGTGCACATAATATATTTACATTCCTTCAGAAGGAACCAAAATTGAAAAAAGGGTTATACCCATGAAATATTGACAAAAATCTTAGGTTAGCTAATGAAAATTGTAATTTTAATGTGCACATAATATATTTACATTCGTTCAGAAGGAACCAAAATTGAAAAAAAGGGTTATACTTATACCCATGAAAGCTGTGAATTTTGATGAACACATAATAGAAATAAATTCATCCCGAACGAGCCATAATTGACAAAATCATAAGCCATACAGACCATGAAAATTGTGAATTTTGATTTAAACATAACAAATTTACATTAATTGAAAACAAATCAAAATTGATGAAAATCGTAAGTTATAGCTCATGAGATTTGTGAATTTTAATGTACACACAGTTAATTTACATTTGTTAAAAAATAATTTAAAATAAATAAAAATTGATAAATATCATTTGTTATAACCCATGAAAATTATGAATTTTTATGAATTTTGATGCACAAACAATTAATTTATATTCGTTTGAAATGAACCAAAAAAATTATGGTTTGTAAATCATTAAAATTGTGAATTTTGATGTATACACAGTTTAATTACATTCCATTGAAATGAACAAGTTTTGAAAAAATTGTTAGTTATATTGAATGAAAATTATGAATTTTGATGTACGCACAATTAATTGTTAGTTATATTAAAAAAAATTGTTAGTTATATTGAATGAAAGTGTGGGTAGCTCATGAAAATCGTGAATTTTGAAGTACACCCAATTATTATACGTACATTCTTTAGGAACAAACAAAAATTAACAAAAGCATGTGTTTGAGCTCATGAATATCAATAATTTTTATCTACACATAATTAATTTACATTTGTTTCAAACAAACGATAAATGGAAAAAGTCATGGGTTATTGTTCATGAAAATCACAAAATTTGATAAACAAACAATTAATTTAAATTTCTTGGAAATGAATAAAAACTAAAAAAAATCGTGGTCTATAGCTCAAAAAAATTATAATTTTGATGTAATATAATAAATTTATATTTGTTCAGAAGAAAACCAAACTTGAAAGAAATTGTGGGTTACCCATGAAAAAAGCAAATTTTGATGTACACATTATAAGATTACGTTCGTTTGGAACAAACCAAAATTGTCAAAATTTTAGCTTATAGTCTATGAAATCGCGAAGTTTGATGCAAGCATAATAAATTTATATTATTTCAAAACAAATCAAATTGACAAAAATCATAAGTTATAGCTCATGAAATTTATGAATTTTAATGTACACATAGTTGATTTACATATATTCAAAATGAATCAAAATTGAAGAAAATTGAGGGTTATAGCCTAAGAAAATAAAGAAATTTTATGAACACGCAATCAATTTACATTCATTTCAAATGAATGGGAAGTTTTTTGGGTTATAGCTCATGACAATCCTCAATATTGATGTACACACAATTAAATTACATTTCTCTAAATTGAACAAAAACTAACAAACATTATTGGTTATAGCTCATGAAAATTACGTATTTTGCTATATGCACAATTAATTTATGTTTATAAACAAGTAACCAAAATTAACAAAAATCATGGGTTATAGTTCATGAAAATCACGAATTCTTATGTACACATAATTATTTTACATTGTTTTAAAATAATTGAATATTAACAAAAATCATGGGTTATAGCCCATGAGAATTGTGAATTTTGATCTACACACAAATAATACATTTGTTTTAAATGAACAAAAAAATGAAAAAAAAAACTTTGTGAGCTGTAGTTCTGGATAAGCATGAATTGTGATAGACATAAAATTAATATATATTTCTTTGAAATAAACAAAAATTGACAAAAACAATGGGCTATAGCAATAAAAAAAGAAAAAGAAAAGAAAGTGACCTATATTTTTTTAATATCATGATTTTGGCCATTTACTAGTTTTGACACACTGAACAATAATTTCGTGGCAGCCAAACTTCACGATTTTGTTAGCTTTAACCCATAAAATTTGACCATTTTTATTCTATTCGACCTATTGGCACATAATTCCACATAGACTAAAATTCACGATCTTGTGAGCTATAACCCACAAATTTTGACCATTTTAAACTATTTGACCCACTGGTAAATAATTTCACGATGGACAAATTCACGATTTTGTAGACCATATAACCCATGATTATTTGCCATTTTAAGTCATTTCAACCTATAGGCAAATTATTAATTCATGATGTCATGAGTTATAACTCACGATTTTTAGTCATTTTTAGCTGTTTCGACCAATTGCCAAATAATTATGCATGCACCGTCGGTTGCTGCGCTCTTCGATTTGAACCACTTCGACTCTTTCTTCAGCTTTTTTTTACATGTAAAACTCTATGAAGAAATCAAGTAGATGGGCATGGGCAAAAAAAGCCCACGCTAAAAATATATAAATGAAAGTGCTCGCAACGGATACCGAAAAAGGGTGCTCCATCCTGAACCTTAAAAAAAAGAGAAAGGCATGTGTTGTTGTTTCTTGGCACTTTCCATGTTGATGGAGATTTGATTTCCATTCAACTGAACTAACTACTTAGTGGACTTGCTGCCTACCCCACCAGGCTGCCCCCACCTTAGTCAACAGCTCGCTCATATCACCATGAAAATTGAACTTAGATTGACAAATTTACATTCGATATGATCGAACTTAGATTGACAAAAATCGTAGGTTATAGACAATGAAAATTGTGAATTTTAATGTTCACATAAGAAATTTATACTCATTTAAATCAATCAAAAAGTAAGAAAAATCATGGCTTAAACCCATAAAAACCGTGAATTTTAATGCATACATAAAAAATTTACATTCCTATCAAAACACCCCAAAATTGAAAAAATTATGGATTGAATCTCATAAAAATCTCAAATTTTGATGTACACGATCAATTTACATTTGTTCTAAACAAACCAAATTTTATTAAAAAATGTGGGTTATAGCTCATGAAAATCATAAATATTTATATACACACAATTAATTTACATTTGTTCCAAATGAACCAAACTTGACAAAACTAACGGATTAGCCCATGAAAACTGCAAAATATGATGTTCACACTATTACGACCTACATTTGTTCACAACAAACAAAATTGATAAAGTTCATGGGTTATAGGTCATGAAAATTACAATTTTGATGCACACATAATAAATTTATATTCGTTCCAAACAAACTAAAATTAACAAAATTATGGGTTATAGCCCATGAAAATCGTAACGTTTGAGATACGCATTAAAACTTGTATTTGTTCGGAATAATTTAAAATTGATAAAAATTATAGATTAGCCCATGAAAATCATGAATTTTTGTGTATAGATAATAAATTTATAAAAATCATAATTTTGATATACACATAATAAATTTACATTCGTTATGCTCCAAACGATAAAAAAAATTAACAAAATAGTGAGTTATAGTTCATGAAATAGCGAATTTTGATGTATACATAATTAATTTATATTTGTTCAAAACAAAACAGAATTGACAAAAATTATGGGTTATTAGTTATTACTCATGAAAATCGCAAATTTTGATGTTCATGCAATTAATTTACATTAGTTTCAATCTAATAAAAAAATAATAAAAGTTATGCTTTATAGCCCATAAAAATTACATTACAATTTTAATGTACACCTAATAAATTTACAATCCTTCGAGGTGAACCAAAATTGACAAAAAAATCGTGAATTACAGCATATGAAAAGCGTGAATTTTGATGTACACATACTAAAGTTATACTCATTGGAACAAAGAAAAATTTTAAAAAATTGTGGGCTATAAAAATTACAAAACTCTTTGGTTAACGATTTTTTTCTCATTGTCCATTTGAACTTAATTGCGATAAAGTAAGCGTATTTGAAAATTTTCGAATTTCATGGACTATGTAACCCATAATTATTTAATTATTTTTGTCTGTTTCGACCCATGAGACCTATGTGTACATCAAAATTTATGATTTTATAGACTATAATACATAATTTTTATCTTTTCTTCCGTTTCGGCTCAATTATAATTAAGTATTGCTCACTTAAAAATTTGTGACTTTTATGAACTATAACCCATAATTTTTATTTTTTAAACTTAAAAGACAATTAAGTACGCATGCGCAGACTTCACGATTTCATAAGCACCCTTACTTTTGTCTATTATCGTCCATATTGACTCACTGGAGCTAAAGTATTGTGTATTTGAAAATTCTAGATTTTTTTGGACTAAACCGCAATTTTTTATCATGTTTGTCGGCTTCCAGTTTCAACCAAATAAGAATTAAATGTGTACATTAAAATTTACAGAGAAATAATTCATAATTTTTATTATTCTTTTCCATTTTATGTCAATGACAATTAAGTATGCTTACTTCAAAATTTGTAACTTTCATAAACTATAACTAATAATTTTTGTCTATTTATACTTAAAGATAATTAAGTACACGCAGTATAAAATTCGCGATTTCATATACCTGAACCCATATTTTTTGTGCGTTTTTGTCCATATCGCCTCAATGGTGATAAAAATATGTAACTTCTAAAATTTTCTACTTTTATGTTTACAACCCAAGATTGATGATTGTTTTTGTCGTTTCAACCCAATGAGATTTAAGTATGCATTACATAAAGACAACTAAGTTTGCGTAGTTCATGATTCGCAATTACATGGAATATAAGTATATAACGCATAATTTTTGTTTGCTATTGTCCATTTCAACTAAATGGCGCTAAAAGTTTGCGTATTAAAAAATTCTTGTCTTTCATAGACTATATAATGCACGATCTTTTTTTATCATTTTTATTCGTTTCGATCTAACGGACATTATGTATGCGTACATCCAAATTTACAATTTTACCTGCTATAACTCAATCATACACGATCAAGGCAGCATATGAACAGAAGTTGGAATTTTTTTTTTTTTTGAGAAAAAGGATGGATTACCACAAAGGTAATCCAGCCAGCTAAATTAAATACTCAAAAGAGGGAAGATCAAAAAAGATCTAACAAAAGACACCCGAACAACACGAGAGCAATATCGACCACACTGAAATAAACAATCAGAAAACGCAGCCAATTGTATCTAAACGAATATGCAGCTATTGCAGTACTACTGTTCCAAACAAAACGAATCAAAATTATAGCAGACAACACTATCTGCAATACCCACACTACATATTCCAAATTATCCCAAAACCTGCAACTCTTCTCTTTTTTTTTTTCCCCCACTCTTCCTCCCCCCAATACATTTGTCACAAAAATCATCCGTCAGATTGCGCATATCAACCGTCACTTCTAGCCCTTCAAAGCTGAGGGATTTTAAAGAGTCTAGATGAAGCAAGACAAGGCTAGAATGTCACTCTCATCAAAGGGGAGTAAATAAAGGAAGAACGTAATGTTTCGTTGACCTCTTTAAAGGGAGATAAGTTGAGCTAACAAGATTTACTTGAAGTTATGGTCCACCAACAGATGAACATACTGAAGATTGAAAAGCCCACGGTCACAGGTGACTTCAACCCTACAACATAGAATTAACCAAGGTTATCGATAGCGGATAGTGTCGTGTAGCGGTGAGGTATCGCAAAGGCTATTTGGGGCTATTGCGACAAAATAACGGTAAAAAACGCAAAGTCAAATAACGACCTAATTTAAATATGTATAAATATAAAAAAAAGAATTATAAAAAAGTTTTGAAAATCTAAAAGTGCATTTGATGATTTAAAGAGATCCTAAATATAAAATAGACATGTAATCATCACATAGTATCGAAGACAACTGGAGAAGTCAAAAAGTTATCATATTCGAGAAGATGAGCTAAGCGATGAGGGGACTGCACTAGGAGGAGCTTACGACGAGAGGAGGTGAGAGGAAGTGCTAAGGGAGGTGCCAGAGGCTATAAGAGGCGGCGGGAGTACGCCGGAAAGCGAGGGAGGCGGTGGGATGTAATTGTTGCGTGTCGGGTTTAACTAAAAAAAATAAATCTCACACTGCTTTTAAATAGCGATAAAAAAACGGATTTTGCCCACAATCGCCTGCTACTCACTGCTGTGGTGTGCTATTGGCCGCTTTCGCAAGTGAAAAACGCATATTTCGCATTGTATCACCGTTATTGGGCAACAACGCAGCGTAGCGGGAAGGGACTCCTAACGCTTTTAACGCCGCTATTGCGGGGCTATTTAGCGCTATTTATAACAGTGGAAATAACTACATCTATATGTGATGATTGATCTGCATTTTCACTTGTTATCTTTCGCATCGACAGTTCATTTCATTTCTGGAGAGCATTAACCATAAATTTGCACCGACAAAACAACTCAGAAAAAAGGTCTGGTGATCTGCATATCATACTACAAAACATGAACAAAGGATATGCTTCAAAATGATTTAACAAAAGCAGAAACTACCAAACAAGCTCAAGGGTATCGAAGTCTCCACCAGGTTGAATATATCCTGATTGGGTCCCTGAGAAACCATTAGCAAAGCAAAGGGGCAAGAGAAAAGTATTGTTTTTATGCTGTATACTTGTAAATAACCTAGGTTGGCAAACACTAACTAACGGGGAGCAAAAGCAGTACTTGTGTACGCTGCCATATGTTTCCTCTTGGCTGATGGATCAGTATGCAAATAGCAACAAATTTGAACGAAGATTATGAACCCAGTTTCTCAATAGAAGACTACAGATAATAGCATATCGATCATGAATCCAGTTCTCGAAGAATAAAACTTATAAAGACATCCAGCCTTAAAGAGATCGGTCATTTGTTACCTTCAACAAGCTGTTGAATAGTAATCACCTCCCAGCACATCTTCAGCATACATAAAATGACTCTGGATCTGCCATCTTAACTTAAAGATGCAACATGCAAACCCACAAATATAACTCCAAGGACAAGAACCAGAGATATAAGAAATCTACCATTCAAATCAAACTATGGTAACGATAAATTGTACCTACCTCAGTTTTTCCCTTTTATAGGAAGACCGAATCATTCATCAGAGCTGTTACAACAGCAGGCAGAGTTTTAACAAAAGTGGCACTCAAATTAAGAAAGAAAGAAGAGACGAAATGGTCTACCTCTTCAGAGTTTAGAACTGAGACAAACTATCTACACTATCACTTAATATGGCCGAACCGGGCTTCTTGACAACCTTCTGTGCCCGTGTCTAACAGGAGAACGGGACCTGCTTCTTCCACGATTCCTGTCTCGGTTTCTGTCTCTATCCCAGTCCCTCCCGTTTTTGTATTGATTGTGTCTCCAATCAGAACCTCTTCCTCCTTCTCTGCTCCCTCTGCCACTCCATTCCCGGGATCTTTCCCGCTCACCACGTCCCCGTTCCCCATGTCGGTCTCGGTCCCTCTCCCGCTCCCTCTCCCGTTCTCTATTTTCGTATTCCTTTTCTCTTTGCTTTCTCCGCTCTTCTGCCTCCTTTTCCCTTGCAAGTCTCTGTTGTTCCTTTGCTGCCTGTGGAATAAACTGATTATAAATCCATT